CTCTTCTCCCCCCGACCCCGCTCTGCGCGTTGGCGACCCCAGCAAAGCGCGCCCTCGGGGGGAAGCCCTCATGGCGCGCCCTCTCGCGCGAGAGGGGGCGTCCCCCTCGGGGCCCCCGCTGGCCACTCGTGTAGTGGGCCCTCTCTGTGAATCGCCGCGCCTCCTGCCTCGATCTCCCTTCGCTGCTCTCGCCAAATGAGCAGGGACCGACCGTTCCGGCATGTCCATAGGCCTACCACGACATGTTCTTCTTAGAGCCCAAACATGGTCTGACATGTTCAACAAAACAGTGTTCGTATAGCATAAACCCGATGTGCTCAAACAAGACAGCCTCAGCCAGAAAGGCTCTAAGAACACTTCGTCCAGACCACAAAAAGCTTTTAGAACATTCTCTGGTGGGCCTACACCGCCAGCCCGTATCACAAGGCTGCGCGGTGAAGATGCAAGGGCCTTGACGGGACACGTTGAGGCTCTTCGGGCGGGGCGCGGCCAACGAGAGTGGCCAAGGATGGGCCAAGGAGGCAAGTATGCAGGGGTACCCTTCGGAAGGTTGCCCAGGAGGAGGGAAGGGAGGAGGAGGAGGAGGAGGAGGAGGAGGAGGTGGAGGAGGAGGAGGAGAGGCGGGGGGGGAAGGAGGAGGAGGAGAGGAGGAGGAGGAGTGAGGAGGAGGAGGAGGAGGAGGAGGAGGAGGAGGAGGAGGAGGAGGAGGAGGAGGAAAGGAGGAGGAGAAGGAGGAGAGGGGGAGGAGGAGGAGGGGAGGAGGAGGAGGAGGAAGGAGGAGGAGGAGGAGGAGGAGGGGGGAGGAGGAGGAAGAGGAAGAGGAGCAGGAGGCCTCGCCACTGCCCGAGGGCCAGCCACGTCCACGGGCTGGCGCGGCGCAGAGGCCCTCCGAGGCATACGACAGCACACCCCTCCCCCACAAAGCCGGCGTGCACCAGCGTCCCCCGAGGAGGGACCAGCACCAGCATTCCCAAAGGCCTACCATGACATGTTCTACTAACCCCAAAATGTTCCAACAAAAAACAAGCCATGTTCTTATAACCTGAACCCGACGTGTCAAAACAACCAATCCCGGCCAGAAACGTTTCAAGAATAAGTCGTGCAGACCACAAAAGGTTCTTAAACATTATTTCGTGGGCCTATAGGCGAGCCAGGACGCTTCGCCAGTGCTCGAGTCCCCCCCTTCCCCTCCGGCGTGCGCTTGCGCTTGTAGGCGGACCGGCCGCACGGGGCAGCGTTGGCCGCCGAGCCCTGGTTGCCGGCGGACGCGCCTGGACGAAGGGGGAGAAGGAGGAGGAGGAGGAGGAGGAGGAGGAGGAGGCGAACGGCGGACGCGCCTGGACGGAGGGGGATCCGCCGTCTCCCATCCTACTACTGGCGCGCGGGCCAGCGAGTCCGCCGACCCCGTCGGCGCGTGTAGGGAGGCTTGGCTGTTCGAGTCGTCGTCTCCGTCGATCGTCGTCTCCGTCGTCCCCTTTCCCTGCACCCTCCTCCTCAAGCTTATAAGCAAAAGAAAATGTAGCAATGCCGTGATCGAGTCGAAGGGAAGCCCCTTCCCTATGATCCCTCCCCCGGCGGTAGGGGGGTCGCGGAGGGGAGTCCCAGGGGGTGTCCTGGAGGGTCCTGGGGGGGTCCCAGGAGGGGTCCCACGGGCCATGGGGGGGGGAGGGTGGGGGCGGGAGGGGGGGGTCAGAAACGCATTCCCCCCTGGGGTTCCCGAGGCCTCAGAAAGCACCTGTCTTGGTCAAGAATGCCCCAAGAGGCCCCCGAGACGGTCCAAGAGGGTCCCCAAACGCCAAACGATCGGTCCAAAACGCCTTCACGCCGTCCAGACTGCCCAAGAGGCATCCAGGACGCCCCAAGAAGCTTCCAAGAGCACCCCCTAGAGGGCCCCAAGAGGCCAAATCCATTGATTGTGCGTTGGTTGTTTAACAATTCGAGCGTTTTCGCATTTTCCACTTCCCGCCGCTCCAAGACGGCGCAAGAGGCCCCCAAGGTCGCCCCAAAACGGCCCAAGAGGCATCCCAGAGAGCACCGAAACAGCCCAAGAGGACCCCAAGACAGCCCAAGACGCCTCCAAAACGGCCCAGAAAGCCACCAAGACTGCTCCAAAAGCGTGCCCCGACGGGAACCCGACCGGACATTTCGAGCCCTCGGCCCCGAGAGGCTCCCAGGAGGCTCCAAGAAGTTCCAAAGAGGCGCCAAGAGGCCCACAAGGGGTCCCCAGGAAGCCCGAAGAAGCCAAGAGGCTCCCAAGAGGCCCCAAAATTCCCCCCCCAGAGGTGAACGAAAACCGCCCGAAGAGACCCCAAGAAGCATCCCGGGGAGGACTCTGGCCCGAACTCCCCAGAGGGCCCGAAGAGGACTCTGGCCCACGTCAGCGTCGTCGTTGCCGCCGCCACCGTTGTCGTCGTCGTCGTCGTCGTCGTCGTAGTCGTTTCCCTTCGGGGTCGGCGGCGCCAGCCGTACGTCAGGCATCCGCAATAAAACCACGATGGCCACAGCCCCAATCAGGAGTGTTTTTTCCAAAAGGAGGAGGACGCTGCGAACCGCGCTTGATTTTGCCGCGGACAACTGGAGGCCACCAGAGTGCAATGGTCGCACCAAATCGCCGATATGCATCGGCGACGTGGGGATCGGAGGGGTTGGGCCCCAGATCGGGCCACATCGCCGATGAATCGGCGATGCGGCGCGATCCGCTGACCCGATCTGTTCTTCTCTGGAGAGCCCAGAAATCTGGGCCATCCTGCAAGGACTCTTTCCGAAACCTTCATCACCGACGCGAGGACATAATCATCGTCGCCGGCATGAGCAGCATCGGCGCAGTCACTGGCCGTGACGTCGTCGTTGTCACCATCGGCACCAGCAACGCTACAATCATCACCGCATCTAATTATGTCGATGTTGCCATGATAACGCGCCCGCCCAAGTCGCCGACTCGCATTGAAGTGCCCGCTGGGAAGTGCCCGCGAAATGCCCAGAGGTCAGCGCCATTGCGGCCGCGTCGACTGCGCCAAAGAGGCTGGCAACTGCGCGCGCGAACATGCGCGCTTGCGCGGCCGCGGCGATGCGCCAGCCAGCGCCGAGCAGTCATCGCAATCGCCGCCGCATGGGTTTTGCAAACCAAGTTGCGGAGGGTGGGTGGGATGATTGCGCGAGCAGTGGAATTGACAACTTCAAGTTCTGTAGGGTGAACTGCATCACATAGATTGCACCATATATAACGCTCAACAAATACTGCATCACACAGATGGCCCCACTGATGTTGCACCACATACATTGCACACTATATATATATATATATATATATTACACCGCAGATTGCAAACCTAAAATCGTCCAACGCGAGTTGCACCACAAATATATCTATATATCTATATATATGTATATGAATAAAAATAAATATATACATATATATATGTTGCACCACATAGGTTGATCCAAGTATATTGCTCCATGTATAATGCTCCACATAGATAGAAACACATCGATTGCTAGAAACGCACTATTTGGGACCCACGCTCGCTAACATGGTACAGTCTATGTGGTGCGATCGGCACGGACGGCGGCGAGGCGGCGACGGGGCGGCGACGGCGACAACATAGCCGCCAGACCGACCCCCAGGCCCAGACGACGGGCGGCGCGGAGGCGGCGACGGGGCGGCGACGGCGACAACATAGCCGCCAGACCGACCACCAGGCTCAATTCCCTCAGACAAACTCGAGGAGTGAGAAATCTCCTCGGGGCACACTCCATCAAGCCGATGCCTGATTTGATGTGGACGCAGTATTGGAAGCCAATTGTCGAAATTACTCTGCTCGTCTCTTCGGGTGCCTCCCCGGCTCCCCATCACCGCCGTCAACTCGTGTCGATGTGTGCAGGGCCGAGTCCCCCAGCCAGCCCGTAACAGTGCACAATGCGCCAGACTGGCGGCAAGCTGTGCGATGAGCATGAACGCACAGGTTCTGGCGAGGCGAAAGAAGAACCTGACCAGTCACGAGGACCGAATCTTGGTAGACCAGACCTGGAGAGCAAAGACAGCCGCACCAACCCCACTGGACATAATCGCAAGGCTCGGGGCAGAAAGATCGGGCCACGACCAGAGGAGACGAGGAGGGGAAGCCGGTCCCGATGAACATGGCCTGCTGGACGCCAGCAACTGCCCTTCACCCTTTGGTGCCACGTGTTCCCTCCACTCCCCTCCCCTCCACGCAGCTTGTGTCCTATCCGATGTGATCCAAGCCCATCCCAACCCATCGCACTGTCCCTCCTGCCCTCTCTATCCCTTCCCATCCTCCCAGACCTCCCCCGTCGTAACTGATGTCCTCACACATACTGGTGTGACCCCCCCACGGGGATCTGCTCCGTCCGTCCGACCGACAGGCCCGCCCCCCCGAGGCCTGCGAAACTCCCCCAGATTGCGTTGTCTGTTGTTTCGCGCTGGCGGCTCTGGAGGATGTCTCGGGCGCCGCGGCCTTCTCAGAGCGTTCCGGAACGCTCTGGAACGTGTTTATCCTCGTCCTAGCCCCGTCCGCCAATTGCTCAATGATATGCACGTTCTCGCCTTTCTACGGCTTCCGGCAGTCCAAGACGCTCCAGGAGGCCCCGAAGATCGCTCCTAGACCACCTAAGAGATCACCCAGAGGGCCGAAGACAGCACCAAGACGGCCCAAGAGGACCCCAAGACGGCCCTGAAGAGCCTCGAGACGGCCCACAGACCCCTTAAGGGGTCCCTAAGCCGGTCCAGACCCCGCAGCACGTCCTCCGAATGCGACAGATGGCTTAAGCGTCCTGATTCTGCCGAAGAGACCTCCAAGATGGCCCGTCGAGAGCTCCAGGAAGCTCCCAAAAGGGACCCCAAAGGCGCGAACAGGGCCCCCAGACAGCCCCTCTGGTGGCCTCTGCGAGCCCAAATCGAAGCAATTCGAGGTCTCCTGGCTCTCTTGGAGCCGGCTGAGGGCCCATTCAGGCCATTTCGCCGCCTGGCTCGTCTGCACCAATCTGTATGATCCGTTGCACCCGTGCCTCTTGTGAGGAAACCGGAAAGTACCGGTACCGATACTCCCCGGACCTCTCCCAGGCTGCGCTCTGATCAAAATATCGAAGCGAGTCCAGCGGTGGCGACGAGGGCCCCCCCAGGAGGCCAGAAAAGGGGAAAACGCACAAAGGGTAGCGGTATGGGTAGTGAGCGTTTTCTGATTCGGCGTTTCGACATTGGGCGGCAGGCGGGGGGGGGAGAGGGGGGAGGGTCTGGCTCCGGACATCTGCTCAGTGCGACTGGTTCCAACAGTGCGCCTTACGGGGGAGACTCCACCGGCTCGAAGCAGGCGCCAGAAAACAGAGCCAAGATCCACCCCACGAGAGCGGGTGGGGCTCAAGAAGGGCCCGCGCCGCTCGGCAAAGAGGGAATGCGAAAGCGACCCCGCACCTCGCCTCCTCCTCCTCCTCCTCCTCCTCCTCCCCGGATCCTGCTGCAGCCTGCGAGCAAGGAGGGGGGAAGGAGGGGGGAAGGAGAGAGGAGGAGGAGGAGGACGAGGAGGAGGAGGAGGAGGAGGAGGAGCAGGAGGAGGAGGGGGAGGAGGAGGAGGAGGAGGAGGAGCAGCGAGCCCTGGGCACCTCGACCCCCTCCTGGGGGGCACCAATTTCCCTCCCCCTGGCCTGCGCCTCGCCGGCCCCCCGGGAGGGCACCGGCCGAGCGGCCGGGCCCTCCCGGGGTGCACCACGCCCGAGGTCTGGGCCCGGCCCTCGCCAGCGCTCGGGCGCCTACTCCCCGTGCACCTGTTCGGCGTCGTGCTTCTCCTTTAGGGGGGTGGCACCAACTATACACCAACACCGATCCTGGCCAGGATCACCCTGGGCCCAGGATCGGTGTATACGCCCTCCTGCCTTGCGCAAGAAGGCATATACACCGATCCTGGGCCCAGGGTGATTCTGGGCCAGGATCGGTGTTGGTGTATAGTTGGTGCCCTCCGATGTTAGGGGGGGGGGGCAAGAGGAGCCCGGATTGCTCCTCCGTGGTCCTCGCGAGGGCACAGTGTACACGTCCGAGCGATTGCCAAGGTCCTTCCCACACATGCGACGTCCTGGTTTTTGTTCAGGGAAGCGCCCCCGGGAGTCCGAACCCTTTCCCCGGGTCCAGCTTTTCATCCTGAATCGTTTTGTTGACGGTCCCGAGGCCCGGCCCCGAGGCCGAAATTGGCCAAAAACCTTCCGCCCTGGTTTTGTTTTTTCGGCGCGATCACGTCTGGGTTCCCCGCCACCCCCACGCGATCACGCTCGCGCGACGCCCTCCCGACAGGACTCTGGCCGATCGGCCTGCGCCACCGCCGGGCTCGGCGGTCAGGCACCGGGAGCACATGGCCAGGACCTGGCTGGGCGGGAGGAGGAGGAGGAGGGAGATTACGAACGCTTTTCGCAAGCCTAACGTTTACATAAGGGATATTGAGGAGGAGGTCGTTCAGTCGTGAGTCGCAGCCGAGTTCTCGCACTGAGGAGGAGGAGGAGGAGGAGGAGGAGTGGAGGCCCGTCCACGAGAAACCTTCCGCAAGAAACCCAGCCCCCCGAGACCCCCAGACGTGTCCCCTGATTTTTGATGCGGGGGCGTCAGGCCTTCTCCACAGCAAAGAACCATCGATACCCAAGAGAGACCCAGGGCACTGGAGGCAAGCAGGGTGTTTCTTGGCATGGGCCCCCACTGTAGGGTTAGGTCGGGCACGTCCCCCTACCGGCGGATTTCGGTCGGAAAATAAAAAAAAAACTCCAGACATGTTCAAAAGCATTCAAACAATAATAGGAAAATCGTCCCCAGAGCATGCTTCTACTGTTTGGAAATATTCCTCCTGTAGAGGGACGTGCCCGACTTCACTGCAGGGGGGGGGGGGGGGGGCGAGCCCCGCCTCGTGGAGGGGCAGAGCGCACACACCAGCGGAGAAGCGGGGATGCGGACGGGGCCGGCGGCGCCACCGCCAGCACTGGCCACGCTCGCGGGGAGGGGCCCCCCATGGCTGCAGAGGGCAGCGCTGCGCGGATGCCCCGCGCGGAGAGCCTCCGCAGGAGCACGAGAACTGGCATGGGCACGCGAACTCGGAGGTCCGCGCGGATTTCTCGGATCGGCGCTGGACCCCCCTCGCTGGCGCGCGGAGCGCGCCAGGAAGCGCCGCCAGGGAGTCCCAGCGCCGATGCGAGAAATCCGCGCGGGCCTCCGAGTTTTGTATGCTTCTGTCATTGTTCGTCCCCCTAGTCAATGGGATCGCGCAGCCATGGATTAAACCGAGGGCACACCCGCGGATAGGTTCGTCGCTCGTGAGGTCTCTCGGGATCGGCGACGGCGCGGCAAGCGCTGGCCCAGGAGAGGCAAGCACGTCAATCCATCGAACGGCTACGCCAGCAGGGGCTCGAACTTCCCCAAAGCCGCGCACCACCAAGACGAGCAACCGGAGAGGGGCATCCAAATCCAGAGCAATGCGTCATCCGCTCCCCGCGCGAGCCCATCCCATCCGCGAGCAGCAGGAAGCGGAGCCGGTCTAGAACCGACTAATCACCCCCCACCCCACCCACAAAAAAGCTGACCTAGAGATGCTCGTGAAGCGAACGAGGCACCGGGCAGCCATGCAAGGTTTTCATGCACAAATGGCAGTACTGGCGAAGGAACCCAAAGGGCTCAGCCAAACCCACAAAACGTCGTCAAGTAGTTCGGCTCCCAACTTCAACACACTACCAGCATTATCATCGGCGCCGAGCCTCGGCGGATCCGAAATACACCTCCAAGATGTCCCCAGAAGGCTCCCCAAGATGTACCAAACAGGCCCCCAAGCGGCAGCGACAAGATCATACAACGCAGCGCTGCTGGGCTTCTGCGCTGCGTCCCCGCCTCAAAGCAAATGTCGCCCCTCGATCGGGAGCTCCAGAAACTTCTGCAGCCACCGCGCCCAAGGAGGAGCGCCGAGTTGCGAACGAAGGAGCTCTTTCCTGGCCACGGCGAAGCTCGGCCACGGATACAGGTTTTCCCCGATCTGGATCCGAGGAACGGCCCGACCACCAGAGCTCGTCCTGAGCCCTCAGCCTTGGCGGCAGGGAACCTGCTGGCAAGGCAATCGCCAATTCTCGGCATGGGCTGCACCACAGCCGTCTATATCTGTCGGTGGACGGGTCCCTCAGTCTGTCTTGACAGCAGCGGCGAGGCAGCAGATGGAGCGGGGCATGGCCTTGGCCATCTTCGCAACCATGGGCGTCTCGAAAGCACGACCAGAATCTCCGCGAACCGCCTTTGCCGCGGCGAGAGGATACCAATAAAATAACAGGCCCAGCCAAACGAAAGCACCCTGTGACACAGACCACCCCCATAGCACAATGCCGTTGCACATGAGCTCATATGCTAGCGCTTTAACAGCTCGGGATGTTGCACAATCCCGAGCTGCCTGCAAATGCTTCCCACATGCGAATCGAATGCAAAGACGCGGTGTCATGATGTCGTGCCGCGAACCCAACCAGAATGAGACACGGATGCGTTTGAGTAAAGCGTGATTCGAGGGCACACCGCATGGTCGTCACGCTTAGTACAAGTTGGGAAGTTAGCACCGTAGGTTGTGCAGGTGTGAACCGAATGTGCTTCTACATGGTGAAAATCACAAGTGACACAAGTGTGCAACCATTGCGAACCCAACATTGTTTAATCAAACCTCGTGTCAATCAATCGCGCTCCACTATTTGAAGCACCCCCACCACCAACCTCATCAGCTGCATGTAGGCTGGTCAGCTTGATACTAACTAGACTTAAGCGTACCTGCCTGTTGGATTATGTCGTATCGCTACTCTTCCTTCGAATTGTGCTGAACGATCGCAATTCCTTTGGAAAGTTTCTGAGCAAGACACCCTCGACTCGCTCCCCATAGGGCTCCTTCCTGACACCACGCCAATGAAGGCCGACGTGATGACTGGGAACGCACGCGAGAGCCGCTCGGCATGTTGCAGGGACGCGTGGAAGAGCTCCACGAGCGGGCCGATCTGAGCCACATTCGCTTGCCTCTCAGGTGCGTTGGCTCAACGGTCCCACAGTCAGTGGATTGATGCTCCCCGCGCAATGCTTGCACTTTGAGGGTTCTCCGTCGCCGCCCCCTCCGGGCCCGGTCGTCGCCCTGGCGGCCGCCGCTCGCGCCCGTCGCCGCCCCAATGTTCCGAGTGCCCGCCCTTCGCCGCCGCCCCGTTGCCCACCCGCTCCGCTGCAGTGCAGTCGCACTGCACGGCGATCACATCGCAGCTCCGCACCGACTTGGATTGCGCAGTGCATTGCGTTCCATTGCTCTGCATAGCTTCTGCACTGCTGCGTCCTGCTCTCTGCATCGCACTGCTCTTTGCCTTACGCTGCATCGCGTAGCATTGCTCTGCGTGGCTTTGTAATACTCCGGATTGTTCTGCATTGCGCTGCATTGCATTGCATTGCATTGGTTTGTCTTGCGTTGCGGTACTTTGCATTGCGTTGCATTGCTTTGCATTGCTTCGCATTGCATTGCACCAGCTGGATTGCACTACCTCGATTGCACCGCATATGTTGCAAGAAATTACTGTTTGACCAAGAGCGAGCCTTCATCCAGAAGACTAAAAACAAACAATGTGGGTGTGATGTCGCAGTCGCCGCCCTCGCCGTCGCCGCTCTCGCCGTCGCCGCCGTGGTCGTCGCTGCCGCCCCCGTCGCAGTCCTACTCAACGCCTTCGCCAGCTCCGTCACCATGAGCGCCGCCGCCGCCATCGCCACCGTCGCCGTCGCCAGCGCCGTCGTCGTCGTCGTCGTCGTCGTCGTCGTCGTCGTCGTCGTTGTGGTCGTCGTCGTTGTGGTCATCGTCGCCGACGTCGTGGTCGTCGTTGACGGCGTCGTCGTCGTCGTTGTCGGTCGTCGTCGTCGTAGCTAGTCATCGTCGTCATCGTCGTGGTCGGCGCCTTCGCCAGCGCCGTCGCCGTCGCCGTCGCCAGCGCCGTCGTCCTCGCCGCCCTCGCCGTCACTATTGCACTCTCGAGTGCAACAGATTCCACGAACTGGCCAGTCAAAGGAATATTGCAGATACGTAGTACTAATTTAAGGCGCACGCGTATGTATCGGGGTCTATGTGGAGCGATCTTCACGCTTTGATCCTCGCTGCGTCCGTAGAACTTTTGAGAACGAGGCGCGCGCTGTCGCCGTCTACGTCGCCGACGCCACCGCCACCGCCAGCGTCGCCGTCGCCATCGCCGTCGCCGTCGTCGTCGTCGTCATTGTCGTCGTCGTCGACGGCGCCTTCGCCAGCGCCATCACCGTCGCAGGCGCCACCGCCATCGCCACCGTCGCCGTTGCCGTCGTCGTCGCCGTTGCCATCGTCGTCATCGCCGCTGGCGTCGTCGGCGGGCGGCTTCGCCGGCGAAGTCGACGCCGCCGACGTCGCCACCGTCGCCATCGCCACCGTCACGTCGACGTCGTTGTCGCGGCTGGCGTCGTCGTCGTCGCAGCTGCCCTCGAAGTCGCCGTCGCCGTGGTCAGGCCACTCTTCTCACAAGAACAAATGTTCCACTGACTGTTGACGTTGAAGAGATGGACAGTCCACCTGGTACCCAACTAATACAAACTCATCGCTCGCGCAACGCCGGCGCTGATACTGTGCGCGATTCGAGTCCTGCATTGCCCTATGCCCTTCACAATTATCGTAGTGGTCGCTGTGATCGTCGTCGTCCTCGACATCTTCCTTCCTGTGGCTGTCACCTCCTCCTTCTCCTCCTCCTCCTCCCCCCCATCCTCCTCCTCCTCCTCCCTCCTCCTCCTCCTCCTCTTCCTCCTCCTCCTCCTCCTCCTCCTCCTCCTCCTCCTCCTCTCCTCCTCCTCCTCCTCCTCCTCCTCCTCCTCCTCCTCCGCCTCCTCCTCCTCCTCCTCCTCCTCCTCCTCCTCCTCTCCTCCTCCTTCCTCTCCTCCTCATCATCATCATCATCATCATCATCATTCATCATCATATCAGCATCATCATCATCTTCATCATCATCATAATCATCATCATCATCATCATCATCATCATAATCATCATCATCATCATCATCATCATCATCATCATCATCATCATCATCATCATCATTTGCATCATCATCATCATCATCATCATCATCATCAGCATCAGCAGCATCAGCTCAGCATCACATCATCATCATCATCATCATCATCAATCATCACATCATCATCATCACAGCATCATCATTTCATCATCATCATCACAGCAGCTCATCACACAGCATCAACATCATCATCAGCAATCTCATCATCATCATCATCATCATCATCAGCAGCCTCATCATCATCATCAGCAGCATCATCATCTCAGCAGCATCTCATCAGCAGATCATCACAAATCATCATCATCACCACCATCATCATCATCATCATCATTCATCATCATCATCATCATCATCATCAGCAACAGCATCATCAGCATCATCCATCACCCTCCTCCTTCTCCTCCTCATCATCATTATCCACCTCCCATCATCAGCAGCATCATCAGCATCATCATCAGCCTCAGCATCAGCATCAGCATCAGCATCAGCATCAGCATCAGCAACATCATCATCATCATCATCATCATCATCATCATCATCATCATCATCATCATCATCATCACCATGATCATCATCATCATCATCAGCATCATCATCATCACCATCATCATCATCAGCAACAGCATCATCAGCATCATACATCAGCATTATATGCCTCATTATCGTCATCGCCATCGTCATCGTCATCGTCATTGTCGTCGTCCACTTATGCCTCCTCTTCTTCCTCCTCGACCACCTCCTCCTCCTCCTAGTCCTCCTCCTCCTCCTTCGACATGATTTCCCTTCGCACCTTGGTCGCTCGGCGCGGACTCCAGCATGCCCTCCGCAATCGCGCCCCTCCTCTGCCCACACGGTTCGGCGAACACCTGTGCGGAAATTCCCGACGGCCCCCAGCCCGATGCACTTGAGCGGCAGAGGTCCCGGGCGCCCTGGACACAAGCAGCTCTCTGCTTCAAGCGTGCACGCGGCAGGTTCCTGCCTTGACAAAATGGGCCCTGGTGTCGGGCACCGCGTGGACCTTGGGGAGACCAAGAGATACCGCTACGGCTAGTCCCCGGACATCTCCTGGGGCGCGTTCTGGCCAGGATTTCGAGGCGAAGCCATCGGTGGCGACGAGGGCCTCCCAGGAGGCCCGCAAAGAGGAGAACGGCAGAAGGACAGAGGTATAGGGTACCTTTTCCTCCTCTGAGACCTGGCAACCTTGCACGGTCTCTGCTCTCGGTCCCCAGAGGCCCGTCTTTCCTGGGCCCCCGGGCCCAAAAGGAACCCCGAAGCACGCCCGCGCAAGCGTCGCCGCCACGCCGAGGCAGTACGCAAGCCTGCCGCAGACCCGCCAAACCGTGCCCCGGAGGCGGTCCCCCACGACGGCCGCTTCGAAGAAGCCCTCTTCAGTGGAGGAAGAGAAAGCGCCATAAACATAAACTTTTGGCATTCCGCGCGGATTTTTTGGATCTGCGCTGGACCCCCTTCCCTGGCGCGCGGAACGCGCCAGGGGCGGCGCCGGTGGCGCCGCCAGGGGGATGACAGGGCGGACCCGACAAATCCGCGCGGCGCGCCAAAAGTTTATGTTCACGACCTTTTCCGTCATCTTCGAAAGGCACGAGAGCCTCCTAATTTCACCCTGCCTCCATCACGGCCGCCACCCTCGCCCCACTCACGACCGACGTCCGCTCCAGACGCATCTCCCGACCCCTCCCGGGGTCCACTCTGGCCGGCCCCCCAAGCCGTGCCCTGCAGTGCCCACCGAGGACCCTCCAGGAGGTCCAGAAACGGCGAGGAGCCCCAAAGTCTTGGACCAAGCCTTCTGGAGGCCGCCGCCGAGGTGCAGCGCAGCATGCCCCAGGCGTGCCCCCGTCCTCTCTCTGATCGCCAGCTCGCTGACTTGCCGACGCTCCGCTTCTGGCCGACCATCCGCCAGCTCGCGCTCACCCCGCCCCTCCTGCTCCTGAGATTGAAGGACCGAGGGCTTCCAACGTCGCGGGAAATAGAAATCCGGACAGCAACTCTGGGCCCAACCTTCCTGCGACCTCTTTTTTGCCGGATCGACCCGCGGATGCCCCGGACCCGAAATCAGGCGGAGACACCATGCGTGAAAAGGCTGCGACGCCTGGATCTCAGAGGACCGAGGAGAAGGGTCTCTGGACCTCGAGCGGCGGCTGGACGCTTCCGAAGACCTCCAGAGGCCTCTCGGAACCTCACAAGCCCTCCGTGGAGCGGGGGGGGCTCCGTCCGATTTCCCCGCGCTGCAGGCTCCGGCTGTCCCCGCCCCCCTTGCTCACTGTCCTCCTCGGGCCCCTCTCCCTGCGACCCCCAAGGCGCGGTCTGTCGACTGCGCGCGCCCCACTCCGAGCACCTCCGCGACCTTCAGGAACCAGTAGCCGAGCGCGTCCGCCGCCCTGCGCCCCAGCGCCGACGCCAGCTCAGCCGGCGAGCTCGGCGGCCAGGGCCGCGCGCACGCCCCGCCGGGCTGCTGCCGCGCCCAGCGCGGCGCGCAGCTGGCGCGCCGTGGCGGCCTGCAGCGCGACCGCCAGTTCGGCGCCCCAGCGCCGCGCCAGGGCGCTGGCCGCGGCCGCGGCCGCGGCGGCGTCGCCCCCGGCCAGCAGCTGCGCCTGGTCGCGCGCCAAGCAGCGCAAGTGCAGGGCCGCCGGGCCGCGGCGGCCGCCAGTCTCCAGGACCAGCGGCGCCATCCGCCAGGGCGCGCGCCCAGCGGGGTACCGCTGGCGCTTGTCCGCCTCACCGGCCCGGGCGACGGCGCCGCCCCGCGCGGCGGCGGCTCGCAGCCCCTCCTCGCCGCCCGGCGCCCCGTGACGTCGAGGTAGACCCTGGGGGCAGTCCGCCCGCTGGATCTCGAGGTCGAAGATCGCCTCCTCGCGCTGCGCCGTCAGGCCGGCGGCGCCGCAGTGGGCGCAAGCCGCCCCAGCCGCCGGGCGCGCCGCCGCCGTGCCGCCCGCGTCGCAGCCGGCGCAGTGCCAGCGCCAGCGGTCCCAAGCTGGCACCAGCGTCTGCCGCGCGACTCGGTAGCCGCAGTCGGCGTGGATCCGCTCCCACGCGGTCTCCAGGTCGCCGCTGCGCGCTTTGAGCCCGCCCCCGCGCGGGCAGCGCCAAGCGTGGCGGGCCTTGGCGCCGACGGGGTCCCCGCAGGGCCGGCCAGCGCGCTGCCCCGCGCGGGCCCAGTTGTGGCAGGTCGTTCCAGCGGGGGCGGCGTCCTGGCCCAGCAAGCAGCGCGCCGTTGAGCAGAAATCGGCGTCCTCCAAGCGCTGCCCGGGTGCGCCGGGCGAGGCGGTCTGCCAGGCAGCCGCGTGCGGGCCGCCGCAAGAGCGGAGCAGTGCCTGGTCCTCTTCAGAGTCCACGGTTCCTCTTTTTCCTCCTGCCTCTGCCCCTGCCCCTGCCCCTGCCCCTGCCCCTGCCCCTGCCCCTGCCCCTGCCCCTGCCCCTCCCCTCTCCCTCCCTCCCTCCTCCTCCTCCTCCTCCTCCTCCTCCTCCTCCTCCTCCTCCTCCTCCCTCCTCCTCCTCCTCCTCCTCCTCAACCAACTCACACATGAATGCACGCTAGGGTACCTCTTCTCCTCCTCTTCCTCCTCCTCCTCCTCCTCCTCCTCCTCCTCCTCCCTCGTCTTGAAGGTTCACTTGCAACCCAAGTCAAACATGAATGCACGCTAGGGTACCTCCTCCCTCCTCCTCCTCCTCCTCCCTCCTCCTCTCCCCTCCTCCTCCTCCCTCTCCTCCTCCTCCTCTCCTCCTCCTCCTCCTCTGTTCCTCCTCCTGCTCCACCGTTTCCTCCTCCTCCACCTCCTCCTCCTCCTCCGCCTCCTCCTCCTCCTTCTCCTCCGTTGCTTATCTCATCATCATTATTGATATTACTACTAGTATGCAGGTTAGTACTACTATTAGTACTAATATAGTTGTTAATATTATTCTTACTAATATAGTTGAGATATTGATGTGAAAAGTAGTAGTATTACTTCTATTTGTATGATTTATAAGCATTAGCAATATTCATCTGACTAGTTTCTTGTTAGTACTAGCATTAGTAGTCTTCATATCATTATTCGTTATATTATTGTTGTACTGTTCTTCTTCGTAGTATGGTTAGTATGTTTCTTATCGTTGTTATTCTTTGTTTATGGTTAGTAATAGGAGTATTACAAATATTATGATGGGTATTCGTATTGTTATCATTATTAGTAGTGTGATAATTCTTAGTGTCATGATTATTCGCATTATCATACTTATCTTCATGATTATGATTGGTATTAGCATTCGTAATATTATTCGTATTAGTATTATGATTCGACGTGTTATTATTTGTATCAGTGTCATTCGGATTATTCGTATTGATTGGATTCGCCTTCTTAGCATTAGTAGTATTATTCTTATGCTTAGTAGTATTCGTCTTCTTAGTAGTACTCATATGATCATTGTTCTTAATATTATTCATCTCCGCAGCATCATTAATGTGTTTATTATTGTTATTATTCGTACTCGTCTTCTTCGTCTTCTTCGTGTTTGTCTCATTCGTCTTTTTCTTCGTCTTCTTTCTCCTCCTCCTCCTCCTCCTCCTCCTCCTCCTTTTCCTCCTCCTCAGGCTCCCCCGGCGACGCCGCTGCGGGGAACATCGGTCTCCACATCGAGCCGCAACGCCGACGCATCGGCGACGCGGCGCGATCCTCCGACCCCATCTGGGAGGACTAGAACGACGAAGGCTCGAGGCACGGATGCTCCTCCTCGCGACTCAGGCCGCCTGCTCCTCGGGCCTCCTGCGCCCCACTGTCCTCCTCGCGGAGTAGCCTTCGGCTCCAGCCCAAGCCTGCGGTAGTAGGCGATCAGCCTGCCGCTCCCGCTGTCGACGGCCTCGCGTTTCGGAGACCAGGTGTTTCGGGGAGGAGGAGGCAGGAGGAGGAGGAGGAGGAGGAGGAGAAGGAGGAGGAGGAGGAGGAAGAGGAGGAAGACTCAAGAGGACTCAAGCATGAGCGACAGCGGAAGTCGAACCGACGATCATCAACCGAATTAACTCGACGACGCCGACGCCCCGCCCCCCCTCCACGCGGCTGTCCTGCGTGGTCAGCACGGGCAAAGGCTGCTCGAAGCGGGCGGACGCGGCGTCGAAAACAAAACGGGGCGGGCCCCGTGGATGCGGTTAGGTTCTGTTCCCCCTTCTTACTAGGGGTGCACCTGCCAACCAGCCATTTGGGGTCGCTGGTGGCGGTCTTCCCGCAAACGCTACAACATGCGAGGCCGAAGCGGCCCCAAAACTGAAAACGATGGGAGGGGTGGAAGGGCTGTCTTCCAATCTCCTGAGGCCCTCTGAACGGCACTACACCGTCTCCCTGGGGCCTGGCTTGGCAACACGAAAGAGCGGCCGGCTTGGTCGAGGCTCTCGTCTCGAAACGGGAGCACAACAAACGCACGAACTTGGGACCGATCTTCCGCCACTCATGAGCTGACGATCAAAGAGCACGAGCGAGCGCGGGCACGGGTGGCACCTCGGGTCGCTCGGGCCGTGCGCACGTCCACGGGTCGGCCTGGACTGACTCCTCCAGAGCTCTACGCGCCCTCCGTCGGATGAGGGCGGCCTCGGCGTCTCGGCGGTCCGTCTCTGGAAGAAACCCTACTTTGAATTCGCTCCAACCGACTCTGGAGGCTCTGCCAGCGGGCACATCAGCACATTCATTGCCGACGGCGCGGGAAACTTCACGCGCGCTGGGACAGTCCAGTTCATCAACCGAGACATGCGACGGGATCCACTCGACAGTTATCTCCGCACCCCTCCCCTGGGCAGGCAACGTTACGAACGTGACCGGAACATTTACCTTGGGACCAGGCTCTGAAAATGGAGAGGTAGTCGGTGACGTATCGTAACTTACCTTCAGTCCTCTCAAGGGCCTCAGCGAAAGCCGCGAGCTCTGCTCGGGGAACCGCCAAGTTTTTCCCAGGGACCGCGGCGGCGAAACCCGCGGAAGGTTCCCAGGCAAGCGGGGCCCCGTCGAGGACAACAATCGCTGCCCCGACCCCGCGGCGCCGAGGGCCCCCGAAGACGCACAGGAAACCCTTGGCATCGCGGGGCACGGAGGCGAAGCTTCCAAAAGCTAAAAAGACGGGCTGCTTTTCTTCGTCAAACACCGGGCATGTGTCAGCGCGGCCCGGGACGCCCCCGAGCCGCAGGGACGGGCTGGCCGCGCGGTTGGCCCTCGCCTGCTCCCCCGGGCGCGCGCTGTCGCCGTAGTCTTTGCGACCAGTTCTTCGATCTCACGCGAGACGCGCATGGGGCCAGCTCCCAGCCGAAGGTCGTCAGCCGCTTCACGTAGGGCAGCCACACTCCAGAGATTATTGTCGATGGAGCTGCTGACCTCGCCCAGGATGGCCGAGAAGTCGGAGGTCATCTAGGCAGACTTGTCGTCGTCAGCTGTCGGGGTGAGCCACGAGCGGTCGCAGGCCGCGCCCCACCGCGTCGCCTTGACTGGGCCCCAACCGATGCCGCACAAGGTGGTTATCGCGGCGCTGGCTGGGCCCTTCAATATGCGCCACTTCCTCTGACCAGCGCGTTTGATCCTGGGGGCGACGACGCCCCGCGCCTGCTGGATGCGCGGGTGGAGCTCGGGGTTCTGAATCCGCATCGCGAGCCAAGTGGTCAGCTGCCACCGACGAACTGCTTTGGCTGGGTCTCCGTCGCCGAGGGCCGTCGCCAGGACGGCGGCGAGGCAATGCCCTGGGCCGCGCCCTGCGATCGACCGCCCTGCCTAACGACGGAAGTCGATGATGTCGCACTCCGGGGCGCTCATCTGCAGGTGCCCGTAGAGCGCCCGGGGATAGCTGCCAGTCCGCCAGAGTATCTGAAACAAACGACGAAGCTTGGCGAGGCGGCGGAGCTCGCCAGTGGCCCCGGAGCGCTTGGCAGCCTCATCCTGTCTCGAGCCTTCGCGCGGACGCGAGTCCGCCAAGCAGCAAAGTCGCAGCCCAGGTCGATGGCTGTCGCAGCTGCTCGCGCAGGCACACCTTGCCTGCGTTGTCCCAGAGCGATATACTTGGCCGTGGGGATGGAAGAAGCGACCACAACTGATTCGTCTGAAAGGACTAGGCCTGCGTCGTTCTGCATCGAACGCCCCGCGAAACCGCCAGCTTCGATCAACGCGTCAGCACCTGACCTGACTGTTCCCTCCACACGGATGGCCGCGTCATCGATGAAGGTCCTGATCACGATGCTGCGCTGGTAGCGGAGGTGGGCGTCGTAGAGAATGGGGCCTTGCACTGCCTTCGCTAACTTACCGCCGCGCGGGGATCCTGCAACCAAAGACTTGGCGGGGAGGATATCTCTGGACACCCGGCGGCGCCCGCGAAGATAGCGCGGCGCCGGGAACATCTGAAGCTCCACCGCCACGATGATAGCTGGGGAACCCTGTCTGAGGCCCGCCTTGCGTAACACTGGCATCGAGATGCTGTCATTGAGCTCCTCAAGGTCAAGCAGGATCGCGGCGCTGCTGTCAAACAGAATCGGACAACAATCGCCCATGCAACTGCGAACAATGGCTGCCTGCAGCGGCGAGGAACCTCGCGCTGCTGCGCCCCGGAACTCGGCGAGCCGGTCGCTCCATCCTTCTGAAAAGCGGTCGCGCATCTTGGACCACAACTTCATCAAGAAGGGGAGCTGACCGGGAATCCTGCCACCACCCTTGGGCTGCGGAGCCACGGCGCCCAGGGCGGCGAAAAGCCGGGCTGACTTCTTGCCGTCGCGGGCGCGCAAGGAGACGAGGTCCTGGCGGGCAGGCGCGGGCAGCCGCTGCACCTCGACGCGGCCCACGGCGTCGATGCCCTCGGCCTCATCGGCGCTGAGGCGGCTGACCACTGCGCCGAGCTGCTCGAGGGCGATGGGCTCGAGGCCCTCGTGCCTTACTTTCGGCATGGCCATCTAGAGGCCCTCGAGCATGCTCCACTGAGATGCTGAGGGGCCTGTCCACGTCTGCTGCCCAACGTCAGCACGTCGATCCATGATCTGGCAGGGCGCGGCATGCCCGCGCCCCTCGACGCCTGCGCGCCCGTCGCGAACTGGCGGGCGCGGCTTGATATCACGACGAAGCTCACCTTGTAAATCTCGCCACATTTTGGGCGCCCACACGCTGCAAGCTCGGCGCCCATCCACCAGGGCCTTGGCGACCACCTGCCAAGCGTCTCGGCCATGTCGATGATGCCTGGAATGGGTTCACCCAGCTGCTGGCTGAGATCAGACACCGCTGCAACCCAGGCGACAAAGACGCCGTCCGCGTCCTGCATCAAGGGTTTCTGGATCTCGCTGTCCAGGGCTACATACAGGAGCTCAGCCAGATTGCCGCTGAGCACCCGCGTTTCTCGGACAGCGCCGCGTCGTGACCTGGTATCTCACCAAAAGGGTAGAATCAAGGTGCCACTATGTCAGCTGGTTCCTCACGCGGGCTCTGGCTGGCGTCGCGCCGGCGCGGCCCCATGAGATATCGAAGCCGAGGCCTCGGCCGCGATGGAGCTTGCCCCCCTCGGGCGGGAGGGCGCGGCGGGCGATCGTGGCCTCCTCGACTGCTGAGATCCAGGCGCGGCGCCCACTCGCGACCTCGACCTTGGCGCCCATATTCCTGTCGAGGAGGAAGTGCGACATCAGCCTCTCGCCCGAGTACGCGAGGCTGCGCGAAGGCGTCGGCGACGCAATCGGAGTCGCCGTTCCTCCTCCGACTCCAGCGGGGGGGGTCTGCCTGAGGGCGCTCCGCCAGAGGCGCAGGGCCGCGAGGGCACAGATCTTTACCGGAGCCGACCGATGGGGAAGCGCGGGCAGCGACCCCCCCCCCCCTGGAATGGAGACGGAGGAGGAGGAGGAGGAGGAAGTAGTGGCCAGGCTTGGTCCTCGGAGGAAGAGAGCGGTGGATGGCATGCCACTGCCGCTCCCCCCGGCAGTGCGTGCCCCGACTCCGTGGTCGAAGTCGCGCTCGAGGTCGCCCATGGGATCGCGATCCGCGGCGTCGAGCGTAGTCTCGTTCTGGCCTGAAGCCGTACGACCCGACGAAAGGTCTGCATTCGGGCGAAGCGCAGCGTCACACTGAACTCGAACGACGTTGCTGGCGTCGGCGCCCACGTCGGCTCTGGCGGCCGCGTCGAACTGTCTGCCTGTAGTTCGGAACCACAGGTCGAGAGGAATTCGAAATCCAACCGCTGGAGCAGGGTACCCCGTGTCGATGCCGTCGGGGCAGGGGTCGTCGAAGGCCTGCTGGAGCTGGCGACCCAGGGCTGCCCGACGCCGCGCCTGGAGGCTAGGGCCTTCTCCCGCTTGCTGTCTGGGTTGGGCGTCTTCCTGGGGCGGGCCGTGGTCGGGGTTCCTGGGGTGCCTGGATGGCACGATTCCACCAGTTGTCCATGCCGCCGCATGCGGAGAACGCGAGGCCGACGTGCGTCTTCCAGGGGACCTCGGCCACGGCCTCCCTCTTGACCGTTTCGGCTAGGTCCGACCTGCCGATTCTCTAGTCGATGAGATTGCCTGGCCGGGGCTGCAGGCGCTCTCAACGTTCGAAGGCAGGACAAGTGAATCACCCAACTTCTTTAGCCATGAGGTCTTGTCCCATTCCGTAAGCTCGTTGTTCCAATCGCCCACGGCGGTCCACGGGTCGGCCACCATCCGCAGAAACGCTGCGAGTATGATCAGCATGCGCTCGCTGGGGCCCTGAAGCCGTACTTTTGCTGGAGGCAGGCGGACACGACGATAGGGTTGCCCGCCTTGGCGTACCACGCGATGGGACAGAAACCTTCGAACGGGTCCTTGCCGGCTCGCCCCAGCTCGGCCTGGCGCCAGTCCTCGAAGGACGCGGTGGCTAACATCTCCTTGCACAGGATAGCCTCGCCGCCCGCGTTGCCCGACTGAGGGTGGCCCGTAGGCGTGGACGGGGCAGCGAGTGTCTCCCGAAAATGTTGGACATGTTAGCGATCATACTGTCGAGACGCTCGCCACGAAGGTGTGTCTCAGCGAAGCCGAGCACGTCGCACTGCTCGGCCTGCGCCCCCATGAAGCCCTCTGAGCGCGGGCCCCACTCAGAGATGCTAGCGAAGAAGAACTAGCCGTCGGGGCTAGGAGCCTCGCCCAGCACCACGGCCTGCACCCTTGGGTTTCAGGCGCGCCAGCGTCGGTAGCAGGAGCGCCCAGAGCAGGCCTGCCATCACCCGCACCGTTGGCCCGCTCCTCAGCCCGCTGCTTAGCCATGGCGAGGGCCTGGGCTGCCTCGGCCCGGCAACCTCGCGGGCCTGGGCTGGGTCGGCGGGGGCGGCAGCAGCCGCCGTGGACGGGGCGACGGTGGGGGCCGCTCCTGCCGCCGCGTTCGCCCCTGGGCCCGGGCGTGCCTGACCGCCGTTCCCATGGAGCCTCTTGGCGGGCGCTGCGCGGATATCCTGCGCTGTCTTGATCGTGTCCTGGAGGACTTGCTGCAGCGCCGCGACCTCCGACACGCGCCTGTCCATCTGCGACTTGAGCTCCTTGAGGGCGGGCTGCTGTTTTTCATCGAACTCGTCCCCACTGTCGGTGAAGCCGGCCTCCTGAATGGCGAGCAGGATATTGTTGCCATCCGCCGCGTAGCCCTCGGGGGGCCTGTGGCCTTGCCGACAGAGAGCGAGAGGGCCTCGATTGCTTTGTCGTTGGCCAGGCGGGCCTGGATGACCTCCTCAGTAGCCACGAGCACCTCATCCTTCGCATTGGCGAGTGCTGCCTCTGCTGAAACATGGGCGTCGGCCGCGCGACGGAGGGCGGCCTCTCTCTTCTGAAGGGTCTGCGAGGTGTATTTGGCCTCCTGCTGAAGTGTACGCTGCCTGACCAGGCTGGCCGCGCACTTGCTCTCGAGCTCCTGAATGGCGCCGACCGAACCAGGGAAGACGGGGTTGGCTGCGAGCACCTGGAGGCATACCGACGGGGTCCGCGAGCAAGTCCTTAGCCCATGGCGGCTTGGAGGCAAGGGTCTTTGGGGCCATACGCTTGCCCAGGCCACCGCTGGGTTTGAACAGATCGATGGCGGTGTCGCACTTCGCGCACATGCCATCGTTGGCAGTTGCCGCACTGCTTGCACCACGAGAAGGGTTGCTGGCGCCCCATGCTGCGACAAGGTGTGGCCCCCTGGGCGCTGGGAGGATGCTGAGCCGCCTGGGCAGGCTGACGCAGTGGCGCGTTGGATGGATTGGATCTGGCCGCGGACTAGCGGTATCCACGGGTTCCGCTGTGGAACACAGCACCTTGAGCCAAAATGACTACGGAAGGAGGAGGAGGAGGAGGAGGAGGAGGAGGAGGAGGAGGAAGAGGGAGGAGGAGGAGGAGGAGGAGGAGGAGGAGGAGGAGGAGGAGGAGAGGGATGGAGGAAGGGAGCATGGGCTGCAAGAGTACCCGTCAACCGCCATGAGAGTGAGTGAAAGAGGGAGGAGGGGGGGGGGGGGAGGGAGGGAGGGAGGCAGGCAGGCAAGGAGGAGGGGGAGGAGGGGGAAGTTGGAGTTGGCGCACGAGGCCCCCGCCACGCGCTTCTGCAGGCGGCGCGGGCCTGGGCGCCTCCAGGCAGAGCATTGGCCCCGCAAGCGCCACTGGCTCCCCCGGCGGGAGCGCAACGGCATGCCCCCCCCCCCTCGCCCCCGAGGTGAGCGCTCTCCCACTCGGCGTCTCGACACCGGGCGGCTCCGACCAGGGAGGCCCCCGAAGGGCAAAGATCCCCCAGACAGCTGAAGCAGGCAGGGGCCGAGGCTCACTCGGGGGCACAAGCCGCTTCCCCACGCTTCGGGATGGGGGGGGGGCAGGTCCCGTACGCCCAGAGTCGGCCGTCGGGCGTTGTGTCCGGTGCTCGGGCATGTGACCGTTTTCTTATTCGGAGAGGGGGGGGCAGGGAGGGGGGGAGGGGGGATCTTGGCTCCGGACCTCTGCTTCGCGCGACTGCTTGCAACAGTGCGTCCTATGGGGGAGACTCCACCCGCTCGAAACAGGCGCCTAAAACAGCCAAGGTCCAGTCCATGAGGGGGGGAGGGGGGGGGCGAGGACCCGCGCCGATCGGCAAAACAGTGAATAAGAGAACGATCACCCGCCTGGGCCTGTGTTGCAATGTTTCGGCCCGCCCCCGAGATCGGGAGGGGAATAGAAGAAGCCCTTCGATTCTCGAAGCAGGACGGTGCGGGAAATGGATTATGAGCGGATGCCAGAAGGCATGATTTCCAACGACCGACGAACAATCGACCACCCCAGCTCACTGTGACCCACTCCCTGGCCCCAGCCCCTAGCGCAAAAGAACCGAGCTGACCCAGCTCGCCTTGAACCATCCGACGTCCGATTTCCTGTCCGAGACAATTCGCCTTGGCTTGCGTTCGCTTTGACGGCCTCCCCTCGCTCTAGCCACGCTTTTGGCATACCTGCGCCAGCATGGACCTACCTTGCCGAGTGTGTCCGTCTCGCAGTAGGTTCAGGCTCAGGGGGGGGCCAAAAGGAACTGTTCAACACAGGCGTGGGCTTGATCCAAAGAAGCGATGGAGTCGACTCCTCGGCAAGTGCTTTATCGCAGTGACTGGCGCCTACCGCACACTAACACGTCAAACAATAACAACGCACCTACACATCGAAGACAATCCCGAATCGCCGCCACGTCACATCATCCTTTCACTCGGGCGTGCTCATGGCCTTGTACCTTCGGAAGGCTTCCGTACGGAAGAGATTGCCACGCTCACGGGCAGAGCACAAGCGAGCTCTGCGAGGAGCCGACAGCGGCAGTGGCATTGAAAGGCGCGCCTCTTGGCGGATTGCCCCCATTTCCCAGGGGCCCCATCTCTTTCGTCCGACTCGACCCTCCTATAGAAAGCAGAGGGATGACGAGGGGGTGAAGGGGAGAGGAGGAGAGGAGGAGCATGTGTATAGATGTGGTTATGGTTGTGCTCCTCCTCCTGCTCCTCCTCCTCCTCCTCCTCCTCCTTCTCCTCACCCACTGGCTGCTTGCTTGGCTACTCTGTGCCCGCCCGGGCTTTCCACCTTTCTCTCTGCGTTCTTGGCCCTTCCTTTTCCGCCCTGGCCTGCAGCTTGATTTGGTGGCCGCGGCGCCCAAAGTCGCTTGATTGGCGCGCCCTCCTCAGTGCAACAGCTGTGCAACCCGTGTGCGGTCAGCGCAAAGGGAGGGCCACGGCGCCCAGATGTGCAGCAGCGGGGGAGGGAGAAGTGGGCACCACACCCGGCCCAAATCTCGCCGCCTGCCAGCTCGGGGCCCCAGGCCGAGGGGTAGGGGGCGCGCACGCTGGGGTCTGGCCCTAAGCGGGCCTGGAGGCCGGGTGGCGGAGTACAGCGGAGGTCAGTCCATAAGAAACCTTCCACAAGAAACCCAACCCTGAGACCCCAGGACGTCCATTTATTTTTGGTGTGGGAGCGTCACGCTTTCCGTAGCAAAACCATCGAAACCCAAGAAACCCAGGGAACCCTGGAGGCAAGCAGGGTGTTTCTTGGCACGGGCCTCCACCGTATGTACCCTCCCCTCTCTCTCAGGAGAGCACAACAGAAAACACGGCACAAAAACTAACTGTTGGAGCTCCGCGCGGATGTCTTGGTCCAGCGCTGGCCCCCCTCTTGGCGGCGCCTCGCGCGCCACCCCGCTCCGCGCGCAAGGGAAGGGGTTCCAGCGACTATCCAGGAATTCCGCCTCATCCTCCTCTTCCTCCTCATCCTCCTCCTCCTCCTCCTCCTCCTCCTCCTGCTCCTGCTCCTGCTCCTCCTCCTCCTCCTCCTCCTCCTCCTCCTCCTCCTCCTCCTCCTCCTCCT